GTGGAAACAAGAATCGAAATCCTTTCGACTCAAATACTACCCAGACACCTGATACGTCGGCGTAAGAAAATAAAAAAATAATTCTTACATTATAAAAACAGAGGAACTAAACATATTTTAATGCTTAATCAATGTAATTTTAAATACACCTAACCTAAAAATTCAGAAGTTTTAACTTGCCTGTGCAAGATAATTATATAGTTTTGTAGAATGTATAAAATTTTAAGAAAATGTAAATTGCACGCGATCTTCTGGGTTATGACGACCAAGTAACCTTGTCGGTGGTTATCTATGTTTCGGAGAAAAGTATCACATCCATCTTCAGGGTGGAATCTATAACACTACACGGCATTTAACTCAGAATACCACTATGTAAAAGAACAATTTTTTATTATTTGGGCAACATTTAAAATATTTCTTCCTAAGAAATTCACTGTTAATTTCATGAGTCCATAAGATAATATACTTTATTCTTATTACTGAGTGGGTTACATAAATAAGCATATATCGAGGGCATCACGCCAGAAGGGCGTATAAACAAAATGGCTGATTTACAGGAGACCTAATTCTTACGCTTATTATATATGACAAATGTGCATTAATACGATGTCCAGTGCCCGTATCTCTGTGTGTTCTATCATCGGAATTAAGCCCTTCTGGCATGGCATAAAACCACTATTTTGTTGTCAAACCAAATATCTCAAATTATGCAAACACGCGAATGCTCCCTCATGGCGCATTGACCTCAATATGTTAATAAAAGGAATCTAATATGTTCGACAGCCCTCGCCTCCTCCCCTCCCCCAGGTCTTCGCAAAGTAACTACAGTGTATTTTACAAACGTTTGCTTCATATTGGAAAATATTTTCAATAACTAAGTCCCTGGTAGAAGAACTCTCAGGTCCATCGCCGTCAACACCAAAACCCGTTTTAAAATGGTACGAAAAATCTGTGTTTATTCTGTAATGTTATCAGTTTTGCGGTAAAGATAGACTACGCGTAGATGAGAGGATAATATTAAAATGTATCTTTAAATAATATGATATTATTATGTGAGCTGAATTCATATGGGTCAAATTAAAGATGGTTGGCAGGTTATAAACACTATAATTAATTTTCGGGTGTCATAAAACGGGTAATTTTTGGACTAGTTAAGTGAGTATTAGTTTATATTAAGGTTAGGTTATGTTTTATATAAATCATAAATATCAGTTTGGGTTGATACATGTTTATACTCGGAATTTAAGCATACGAGAACTAATTTTGAATAATTAAAGCAGTATTAAGTTTCGTTTTTCATGGAAAGACTAAAATTTCTCAATTTTGACTTCAAAAATGTTCTCTTCAAATTTGAAACTCACGATTATTTTGAGACTACATAACCCATGCATTGGATGTAGCGTTATTAAACAACTACATTAATATCCCTATGGTTATAGTCAGATTTTTAGCAGATTTGTTCAACCAATGACTGTGGTTCATAGCCAAACAAGTTTAAATTCAAACACAACAACGGATATTTGAACCAACTGTTTTACATGTACCCTTCTTGCAGAGTCTATGTATATGTTGGTTTAGTACCGACAGACAGACAGACATACGAGGGTCACACACAAATTAATTAAATTTTTCTGGACTAAAAATATAAACGAAAAGTGAAATCCATTTTTAACGAGCACCCGTGAAATTGGACCGGCCATATTCGATATTCGGAAAGCGCCTCGTATTTCTTTTGTTATGTATCGTTTTCTGATGCCATTCGTTTCGTATTTCTTTTTGTTATGTATCGTTTTCTGATGCCATGGTAACCATTTTTGATATGAGTGATTTTATAACCGTAACCATTATTAACATCCATAAATCAATATTCTTGTAAATACCCGTTTTAACGTTTATCCAATTCGTCAACGTGAGAAAATATCAACATTTTAAGTTTGCCTGCTGTTTCATCTCGCAAGACGTTCAAGTGAATTATTTTTCTTTGTGATTTTTCTTGGGACGGAAGGAGGAACGAAAGGAAAAGAAAAAAAATTGATGAAATGACGTAAAACTTGAAATAAAATATTCCCCATTCAATTCAAACGGGGTTCTTAAGTTTTACTGACGTAACATATTATTTAATATAGACCGTCATATAAAGTTTTAGACGCATATGGACTGTAATAGATAATTTGAGGATACAATTTCATTGAGAGTCCTCCACTTAAAATTTAATCAAAATCCATTCCCTCCTGATTGCCCCTCGTACATGAATATGGAAGATTACATGCCAACATACAATGCAGTTCACATGACATAGGATGTTTCTAAAATAATGTATAAAAGTGGTTTTAAACCTCTTCTCATGGGCCAAAAGAAACCTAAAAGTGTTTTCCGAAGATGATCGTGCTTTTATCTTCTTCAGAATGTATACTAAAGTAATTGTATATAAATCTAATTATTACTGTCTAAACGTAAATATTACCATTAAAACTAAATATACGCTTCAAAACACTACGATATTACGTTACGTACTACCGACGAACACATGAACATTCTGTCTCTATCGTCAGGTTAATGTATTACTCTGAAACGTCGGGAATACATATCACTTTTCACAAAATAAGGTTCAACATTAACAATAAATCACCGTTGAATATTAAAACACTTTATTATCAGAATTTATCTCAGAACATTCAACCAAAGTAAAATATTAAAACAGATTACGTGGTATTAAGTTTATTAAGAATAATTTCGGCAAAATATTTAATCATAACCAAAAAAATGAAAGAATGTGTAAAATCACACACACACAAACCGTAGTGACACCCCGGTTTTAAATGGACAGGGACACCGGACTACTGGAGGCATAATAAGTAAGGTTCGTGTGACCTTTATAGGGTGTTACAAAATTTAATAAAAAAAATTACAGATATAAGAAAAGAAAATTGTAGAGTTATCAGCGAAATTGAGGGCTAAGCCTATGCAGAACTGAGGAAAAACCAGATCAGACCCTGAAATCTAAACAGTTGTGGCGAAGAAGTAAAATGGAAGCCACTGTAAGAAATTGAAAAGAGTAAATTCTCGCATTTGTAAGACTTAGGAAAAGACAATTAAGCATAATCCTACGTACTTAATAATGATTATAAAAATTACCGACTTCGTGTCACATTAAAATCGAAAGGCAACCATAATCACTCATATCAGAATTCTGCGTTTTAAATTCATGCAAGGGGATTACGAATCGATTTGTCAGATTTATCAGATTATCCATCTTAGGGGTCGGTCTCACGAAGAATGCCACTGAAAGTGGAGTGAATATTGCAGATAGGTCTGATGTTGCCAAGGAAACGAAAAGAGAAAGAACTGTGTCTCCAGAGGTTAGTTACAGATGTGTTGATCAGTCGCGGAAAGCTGACAATGGGTGATCCTCCGGATTGTGGGTTTTGTTTCGAGGACAAAGTAACATGTTACGTAATGTCATAAGGGATTTCGGAGTGTCGGCTAGATGAAAACAGGACCAAGTCAGATTCCTCTAGAAAATTTTGAAGGGAAAATACAACTTGAAATACCTAGAACTTATATTATGAGACGGTTTGGTCTGGTTTCATCTGAATCTGAATAGGGGCCAGTGGCGGACTGTTATATACAGAGTAATGGAACTTTGTGTTTCATAAAAAAAATAAATTTCTTGAACAGCTGAACGACTGTTAGCTTCTGAGGAAAGATTATGCTCCGTGGAGTTATTCACTGGTTAAATAAATAGACTGGAATATATGAATCATTAGAACTTGGGAATTGGAATAAATTTAACAGTAGTTTCTGGACCGTCTTTTGGGGAAATTATCTGAAGGACAGGCCTTTAACATTTCCCGGCACGTAACGTCTGAAATTAAAATATTTCTCCCGAGTGGTTTGCATTGGGTTTAAATTTTCGACCCGGATTCCGGAAGTCCCGAGTTTTTCGTGGTTTTTCTCACTTCATCACGTAAATAATTACCAATACAGAGTAATTTTTAGTCTTTAAGTAAATGCGACGATCAGCCATCTAAGTTGACTTTATTTAGACATTTGTTTCTCGGAAACCTTCAAAATAGCCCACAGTAGTCTTCATTTCCTGTAAAATAAAAGCCAGAATTAGGCCGCTTGTTTCAGGCTCCTTTTATATCTGTTCAATTTCCTTCTGTTGCACAAGTGCGTTGATAAACAAGGCACGTGGCTACCGTGGTTTGAGGAGGCGTAACAAAACAAATGTACAGGCAAGACCACTCCTCACTTTAAAGGCAAAGCATTTGAAAAATCCTCGGTGCATAAATGGAATAAGTAAAAAAAAGCTTCCTCTTAGAGACGTTTTAAATCGCGTTTCTATGGAAACGTGGTCTGGGTCGAACTCGAAGATTTCTTGTATTTGAACTCCTCAGAGATAAAGTGTTGTAAGACAATTTTTTTTATGATTATTCTATAAAATTGTGTTTCTCGTAAATACCAAATAAAAACGTAGAATTATTTGGTGTGACTGATAAGACATTTTAATAATCGTGGCACAGATGCGTGTTCATTGTTTACAGTAAATCAATTATAAACGTACATCTAAAAACTTGTTTACTTTTACTATGACGTTTGTACCTTCAAGAAACAAAATATAAAAAGCGAATTCAAGAGATTGTAAACACTAATTCTGAAATATTATACAATTACAGATAACTACAAATAATGCAATTGCCATTAAGTTAATTTTCGTATTATTGAGACAGAATTACGATAAAAGTATTACCTCTTGTTATGTCCTCAGCGGATTAGATTCACGCCTGTTCCGACCTCATACATATCTTTTCAATGATCTTTTGTCATATCTTTACGCCAGTTTGGTTTGTAGAGAAGTACACGCCATCATTAAAGCAAGTTAAGTAACTTTATCTGAAATAATATATTATTTATTTTAATGAATGTTCTGCTGAATAAATTTAACAGTAGTTTCTGGACCGTCTTTTGGGGAAATTATCTGAAGGACAGGCCTTTAACATTTCCCGGCACGTAACGTCTGAAATTAAAATATTTCTCCCGAGTGGTTTGCATTGGGTTTAAATTTTCGACCCGGATTCCGGAAGTCCCGAGTTTTTCGTGGTTTTTCTCACTTCATCACGTAAATAATTACCAATACAGAGTAATTTTTAGTCTTTAAGTAAATGCGACGATCAGCCATCTAAGTTGACTTTATTTAGACATTTGTTTCTCGGAAACCTTCAAAATAGCCCACAGTAGTCTTCATTTCCTGTAAAATAAAAGCCAGAATTAGGCCGCTTGTTTCAGGCTCCTTTTATATCTGTTCAATTTCCTTCTGTTGCACAAGTGCGTTGATAAACAAGGCACGTGGCTACCGTGGTTTGAGGAGGCGTAACAAAACAAATGTACAGGCAAGACCACTCCTCACTTTAAAGGCAAAGCATTTGAAAAATCCTCGGTGCATAAATGGAATAAGTAAAAAAAAGCTTCCTCTTAGAGACGTTTTAAATCGCGTTTCTATGGAAACGTGGTCTGGGTCGAACTCGAAGATTTCTTGTATTTGAACTCCTCAGAGATAAAGTGTTGTAAGACAATTTTTTTTATGATTATTCTATAAAATTGTGTTTCTCGTAAATACCAAATAAAAACGTAGAATTATTTGGTGTGACTGATAAGACATTTTAATAATCGTGGCACAGATGCGTGTTCATTGTTTACAGTAAATCAATTATAAACGTACATCTAAAAACTTGTTTACTTTTACTATGACGTTTGTACCTTCAAGAAACAAAATATAAAAAGCGAATTCAAGAGATTGTAAACACTAATTCTGAAATATTATACAATTACAGATAACTACAAATAATGCAATTGCCATTAAGTTAATTTTCGTATTATTGAGACAGAATTACGATAAAAGTATTACCTCTTGTTATGTCCTCAGCGGATTAGATTCACGCCTGTTCCGACCTCATACATATCTTTTCAATGATCTTTCGTCATATCTTTACGCCAGTTTGGTTTGTAGAGAAGTACACGCCATCATTAAAGCAAGTTAAGTAACTTTATCTGAAATAATATATTATTTATTTTAATGAATATTCTGCTTACATTTGCCAACTATTTTGTTTAATCTATTACACAGATTTAAAATGACCAAAATATTTCTTCATCTCTGTCATTCCACTTTTCTGTTTGCTGTCCAGCATATTTTATGATCCCCTTGTGTTTAATTGTTTTATTTTACTTAGTGCAATAAACATGTCACTTATCAAACAGTTACAATATAAACTTGTTTTACTTTAGAACTGAAAATAATTATTTCGCAAGGGATTTGAATATTTGGGTTATAAACTATCATCATTGTTTTAATAAATATTTTAACATTAAATTTTTTTTACCAAACTTGTTTAGGATAAAATAGGACTTAACGTATATATTCGTCCATTTTCTGAACTGCAATCTGATATTTCGTAAAAGTAAAGAATTAGTTAATATTTTTTTCTGTTCAAATTAATTCTGGAATTGGTTAGATATTTCCACTTCCTTGAAAAATCCTCCTCGTAAACAATATTTTATGTTAAAATACGTGAACTGAAAAAAAAATATCACTCCTAACATTTAATTAGTAGAAATATTTCTTAATGAAATACTGACGAATAAAATAAATAATTTTGATCAAAGAGTGACACGTCTCTAGAATTTTTGGCAACTGAATATATGCCTAGGTTCACGAAGAATGTGAGGAAAATCGCGTTTCGCCAAAGTAGTTATTTTTGTCGAAGCCTGTAAAGTCCTCTCTTGTCTTTTTTCTCTGTTCCTTATTGGTACAATAAATCAGCCGTAACATTTTATACGTACAATGAAAGTGGGGATACAAAAACTTCCATGAAATACGTGGTGGTAATAAATATCATTTTTCATTTGTCTTTCGTCGTAACAATTCATGCTGCATTCGCTATTCCGAGAAATATAATTCTAGTAGCGTATTTATCTAAACAAATAATTATTAACAGCAGAATTCGAATATGTGGATAAAAAGATTTAAATAATTTATTCTTAATTCACTGACTAAATTCTTAGCATGTAACATTAATTTTGACTTTAAAACTAATGTATATTCTATTGTTATTATAATAATTATTATTAAAATAGTACGTCAATATACATTTATCGTATTAATATATCTCTTTATTACTTGAGAGCATAAAATTACTGGTATTTAACATAGTACGTCAATATACATTTATCATATTAATATATCTCTTTATTATTTGAGAGCATAAAATTACTGGTATTTAATTTAAAATCACAAAAAACCCAATCCAGGGATGTTTTATAATAATAGTTTGCAATATACGGACAAGCATAATAGTTTTTTTATTAAAAATAATATAAATGAGCTACGTTTTATACGTTATTTAATTAGGTACTCATGATATTGTATTTATTAAATATCATTTGACATCAATAATGCATAGATACTTTCAGTCTATTTGTAGGAACAAGTTCATATATACGCACCTCACAGAATTTTGGCGGAAGTCGTGACGTTTGTACACCCCTTGGCTTTTATAACTGAACAATGAAACTTTCCAGTCTTGAACAAAATGGTAACTGAAACGAAACCTTATTAATGACTGTTAGCATGTCCTTTTATTTATCGTAGGGAATCAGTTTCTCAGGACAGCGTTCTTTACCGCTGTACAGAATGAGTCGCTTGTTCGCGTCAGAGTTCGTCAGCTGTGTTCTTGTTAAGCCTCGCTGGTTCTGGACAACATTCACCGGTCTCTTTGTTACAGTCACAGCGACCAGAATCAGGCCAAGTGCTTCCCTCTTGAAGTTAATTGTAGTTGCTACCTGCTCGTTCAAGGCAGAATGGATTATTTTTCTTTTCAAACAATCTAGAACACAAGATAAACTTAAAGAAAAAATTACGTGATCGGTGGAGACATCTTATAGATTACGTAAATTTAATTAGGCTCATAAATGTAAAATGACACACTTCAAAATTAATTTAATTTAAATTAAAAATTGGACGTTCAAAGTTTATTTACGTGTAAAACGTTTGGGGAAGTTGACAATTAAAAGTGATAGTGGAACCACGGTTCCGGAGAATCTGACGTAAATACATCTATACGGAAAGGAAGTTTATATATTGGCTTTATTCTAAATATTTCCTTTATACATGCTTTACGATTGCGTAAAGTTTGATTAAGACTTTGCTTATTTAACTTGAATTAGTTACACTTAAGATGGGTCTGTGGTAGATGAATGTAATGTAAGGTAAGGTAAGGTAATGTAATGTTTTATAGGTAACAACAATGCCGAGTAAACAGATTAAGTTTCATAGGTAACATAATGAAGTTACACTTTTTCGTAACACTTTTTCGTAACAATTTTTCGTAACACTTTTTCGTAACACTTTTTCGTAACACTTTTTCGTAACACTTTTTCGTAACACATTTTTGCCGAATGACACTGACCCTAAAATATAGATGTATTTACGTCAAAAAAATTGGTTGAAAATTCTGAAGGTGAAATGACATTTGGGAGAGTAGAAGTAGAGAAGATAATATTAAAACGGACCATAAGTAAATATGACATAAAGGCGTAGACATGATTCATCTGGTCCAAGACAAGGACAAAAGTAGATTTCTTGTGAACACAGCAGTGGAACCTCTGGTTTCGTAAGTCCTGGAAACTTCTGAACCAGATTAGTCCAATATTGAACTTCTGTAGGTAATCCTGGCAGCACTCAGAATTAATTTTCACATTCCACGCGTTTAATTTCTCTGTTTCGCTGCAAAATCGACCTGAGTAGTTGATGACAAGAAATCATGAATGTAACTGACGTAAAGTGCCCTGATGTGTTGATTCGTCATATACACCTTACTTCCTGTTTCTAGGGGAGCGAATCTTCGGAGTAAGACGCTCTGAGGAAAAACACGACCGTCACGACGCGTGAATATTTTTCAGCTCCTTAAATTTAGCTGAACGTCACTCCGAATGATGAATGTTACTGGGACGCCATTGTCCTGGAGACCTCTCAGGGCGACGCTGTTCTCTGACGCAACGTGGCAGGTAGGGGTGAGTGGTTATGACGTCAGAGTGAAGTTACGTTGTGGCTCTAACTGTAGTATTCATATTATAAATCGATTTATTGTATCTTCGAGAAAAGTCGATAAAGATATATACAATAAAGCACGGGTAGGTAATATTAATATCCAGTGGACATTATTTAAAGTTAGTTTCAGAAAAGACATTTGAACGTGACCTAAAAAGAGATGGTAGACAGCGAAAATATGAAAATGTAGTGCTTCAGTTTGAATTATTTACCAAATACTTTTAAAGCGATGTAATAAAGGTGAATTCTAAGTAGGATTTGCTGTTTCCACGACGTTACGTCCGAATAAAGCCATCTAAGATGAGCTATGTAGGCGGAGCATGTAGCACGCATGGGTAAATGAGAAATTAATTAAAAATTTTAGTCGTAAAACACTAAAAAAGAGTATATCAGATCTAAAACTTCTTGACGAAGGTGAAGAGTCAATTGAATAAAAATTTTCTTGGATATTATCCATCGTCTAGTAAATATAAAACGTAAAACGACGTTTCGGATATGGGACTCTATCTCCGTCTTCAAACTTGGTAAAAGTAGAGGGAGATGGGATGTTAATGGCGAAAGTGTCTTATGGACAAATCAAATGTGAGGTTGTGGATCACGTTTAAGGCGCCAGGAAAGGATGTATATGCCAGCTGTTATGAAAAGGGTAATGAACAGTCGGTTTTCGTAAAATTCGGGTAATTTACTGACCAGCCTAGCAACCAGAAGTTTCTCAAGAAGGAATGTCGTCCATGGGATTAGTTAGCCAAACTGCCGGTTGGCTGTTTCTGAATCGCCCTGTTGATAACTTTATTTTGAGACACACTGTGTCGATGCGTGTAAGTTATCAGGAAACAACGTGTCTCGTGATCGATACTTGTAATTGCCGGAGGACGTGAGCGGGTTTAGCAGCTATTACCGGACAGTTACCTCCACTTGCCCGGAATTTTCAGAGCACAAAGGAATTTTCCGTCTTTCGTCGATTTCCGCCTGTTAGAGAGAACCCGTCCTGAGGTTGTGTTTCTGTACAAACACTATTTCTCTCAGAAGCGTTAAATTGTAAGGGATCATAGCTCTGAGCTCCATACAAGCTAAAGACGTTCCTACACCCTGTGTTTGGAATTCTGGATATCAGATTCTGACGGCGGTAAAGATGGCTAAC